TCAAATTTTATTTTAGTCAAAAGGGCAAAAGAAAATGTAAGTGATAACGATATTTATAAAGAATATCTTATGCACTAAAGAGAGTAATTTTTTAAAAAAAGATTCAACAATATTCTCTATCTCGACTCTTTATTTTTATTTTTTCAAAAAAAATTATTGATTTTTCTTTATCTTTCATTTAACATATTTTTTTTACATGTCAAATATGATTTGGATAATATAAGAAAACCCTCTTTGAATTCCAAGAATCGAATTTATCATATTTTAAAAAGTTAAAATCAAGAATCTTTTGAAACTTATTTTTATGTATTGAGTCTCTAAAATAGAGTCTAACTCTTAAATTACATTAAATATACTCGAGTTTTTTTAATTTATATATTTATCAAACCCGTCAAAACTGTACTATTCACCTAATAACTAGGAGCATGTTTGAACCCCTTTTTTCTTTTCTTTTTTTTCTTTTTTCAAACTGTATTTTGAAATTGTATTTTGATGGAGAATGTATGGTTAAAAAATAAGAAAAAAATTTGAGTTCGCGTACAATATTATTTTATTAAAAAATTTGTATTTGAAAATAAGAGAGAAAAATATATTTTCAAAATAATGGGACCAAACAAGGACTGTCTAAATTACTCACTTTCTCTATTTTATTTTTCTTTTCTTTTTAGAAACGAGGCATTTGATAAAAAAGAAAAAATCGACTCGTTATTATTTAAACATAAATTATAACTGATTAAAGATCATTAAAAAAATTAATTTCTTGATTTAATTTTTTTTTTTTAAAACTGAAATATTGTTCTATAAAAAGGGCAATCTTCTTTTTGGGGTAACATTAATTTATTTCCTTATACTAAAACCTTTTTTTGTTGGAAGGATAATTCCCATTTTACTATTTATTTTCCGAGAATAGTCAGTCACAAATGGAAGAAAATATTAAGAATAATGTGTAACAAAGAAACATTGTAAACTCAATACCCAAAGGCAAAGATTATCGTATTTAGCCTTTGTTTGAGTTACATCAAAATTTTCATTTTCACTATCCTGCTTATTTTCGACCACACATTTTTCAATAAAATAATATTTTTCATCATATCAATAACTTTTCATTCTTTTTCAACAACACATTCTCCTTCAATCTACTATTTCAAAATAATGTGGCTCAAACACACCCTTAGTGTATAAAATGGGTAATTAGCACAAAACATCCATAAATTTTAATATTATTGTGCAAAACATTTCTACATTTCATTTTTTTTTTTGACATTTTCACACTTTATTTTCACATTTCATTGTAAAAATCATCATTTTTATCCATTCTCTCAATTAAAAGTTAGGGATGGCAGGGTTCGGGGCGACAATAAGTCACTTAATCAAGTATTCGGGGTGGGGACGGGTAACTAGCCCTTCACCCCGTTTAACTTTTATTTTTTAATTTCAATATTTTAAATGAAAAATTTCACAAAATTTCATTCGTTCTAATAGAAAATGCCAACTAAA